GAGACACACACACACACACACACACACACACACCCTGTCCTGTGGGACACCCTCCACCTACCTGCTCCCTCTGTCCCTAAGACAGACAATAACTGCTACATTGTCCCTTTTAGAAAACAAGGACTAAGGAGAAGAGCCTTATCCAGTGGTTATCAAACTTTAGCATGTATCAGAATCACCTGGATTGCTGCCCCTAGAATTTCTGATTTAGTGAGTTGGAGGTGGCTCATCTGCGTTTCTCACAAGTTCCCAGGTGATGGTAATGCTGCCGGTCCTGGGACCACACTTTGAGAACCATTAGCCGAGACCATCATCCTTATACTACTTTTCTGAAGCTACACATCCTAATTCTCATCTCCAGCAAAATGATAAAAAGGAAGGTCTTTATTGGTGGGAAAAGAGGTCCCTTATACTCCATGAGGTGGAGATTATGGGTGAAGACCTGTAAGAGCTAGGAGTCAAAGGGCCTTGAAGGGATGGGATGATGACAGGAAGGGAAGAGGAAAAATAAAATGGCCAGGGAGGATGAGTGCAGAAATGCAAGACAGATAGAACAGGCAAATCTCACATCCTTTCGCACCCTAGAGGGGAAGGCTCAGGGAACAGGATGCTTCTGTGTTGGGTTGTCTGGTTTGTGAAGCCTGTCTCCTTCATTATATCTTCTGAGTTTCTTCGCTTCATCTCAGCCCCAACTCTGGAGCCCTGTTTCTCTTTCACACACCCTTCTCTCATGGGGCATGTAGTGACCAGTGCTGAGCTCACCCTTTGACCCTAGTCCAGAACCTCTTGCAACCTCTTACACTTGATGTCATCAGCTGAGAGGGGTGGGCAGGATGGAAATTGTGTCTCCCAGACCAGTGGCAAAGAATAGCCTCAGCAGTCTGGACATGGAGAAGACAGACTTTTGGGGACAGCAGTTTGAGACTGTAGGGAGAAGGAAGGGGAATGATCTTGCATCTAGGAAGAACATGATTCCAGTGATCAAAAAAGTTTTTGTTCCTGGCTTAGATGGGTGACTGTGTTCTCTGAGGCTTTTCCTTCATTGAGGTTGAGTAGAGGGCTGGTCTGCCAGTGACTTTTGACAGGTGGCATTTGCTTAGCAGGTGAGGCTGAGGTTTCCTGCGCTCTTAAGTCAGCTGCCCAGACCCCAGTGGGAGTCAGGGAGAAGCAGAGGTTAGATCTGGATGATGTGTGGTAACTGTCCCCTTTTTCTTTATAGGCTGAAGATGGAAACATAGAATATAAAGTAAGTCTTAGGCTGGGGAGGGCAGGTTGTCCTTGCTGGCGTGGGTTGATTTCTTCAAGATCTTTCTCACTTCATGATCTATAGTAATTTAAGGATGTGGTTCAGGGTAAGGGCTCTGTATCTCATTCTGTTGGAGAGGGACTTACTGTTAGAGGAGGTCAGGGATGAGGGGGTTAAGAGAGAAGGGAAGGCCCTGGTCCTTGCAGCAGGACAGATGGAGAGCACACAGGTTCAGAAGGAGCATCTCTGATTTACCTTCTCATGATACCCCCCTGCCCTAAGCTGAAGCTGGTGAATCCATCCCAGTACCGTTTTGAACACCTGGTGACACAGATGAAGTGGCGACTCCAGGAAGGCCGTGGTGAGGCCGTCTACCAGATTGGGGTAGAGGACAATGGGCTGCTGGTAGGGCTTGCCGAGGAGGAGATGCGGGCCTCTCTCAAGACCCTGCACCGGATGGCGGAGAAGTACGCTTCCCCTTTCCCTTGGTTCTCCTTTCCCTAACTCTGGGGGGTACTCACACATACCCGGTCACCTAGGGCCTGAGGGGCCATGGAGGGACTTTCCTTCTGCTGCCTTTTCTTGACAAAGAGCTGAAGTGGGTAGGGTTAGTTTTCTTGGATTCCCTGCATTGGACTCTGTCTTTTTTGCTCCTTGACTTAAGGTTTGTTTGTTTAAAGGGAGATGTAGATATGGGATAGATTGGAGGAGGGTAGGAAGTGAAGTGAAGTGAAGCGTTGGGAGCTCTGTGGGAGGTATGGGAAGGCCGTTGGCCCAGAGTCAGGATGGGCAGGGAGGGGAAGTACAGGTGAGATGTGGCAGCTGTGGCCTTGCCGTGACAGGGTTGGGGCAGACATCACTGTTCTCCGGGAGCGCGAAGTGGACTATGATAGTGACACGCCCCGGAAGATCACAGAGGTGCTGGTACGGAAGGTCCCTGACAACCAACAGGTAAGCACATGCCCTACCCTGCCTCTCACACCCATGCTCCCTGTGGTGGCAGGCTCTCCCCTGGCCTGGGATCCTGGGGGTGTCCAGTTCAATGTTTGGTCCCGAGGGAGTGCCACTGCCCTTGACCTAACCTTCAGTGGAGGAGGGGAGAAATTGGACCCCTTACCTCTGACAATTCTTCGCAGTTTCTGGACCTCCGTGTGGCCGTCTTGGGCAATGTGGACTCAGGGAAGTCGACTCTGCTTGGAGTCCTGACCCAGGGAGAGCTGGACAATGGGCGGGGCCGGGCTCGGCTCAACCTTTTCCGCCACCTGCATGAGATTCAGTCTGGACGAACCTCCAGCATCAGCTTCGAGATCCTGGGCTTTAACAGCAAGGGAGAGGTGCATGCAATCAGCGGGACCCAGTGGGGCCAGACTCTGAGGATGGGATGGTAGTGGTGAAGGACAGAGTTAGAGGGCAGAATGTGGAAACTTTCTGGAGTAGTGTAGACAAAGGCCCTGAGGGCGCTGAACCAGCTCTGACCTCCTTAGAAACCAAGTGGGTAATCAACTGAACTAAATTCGAAGTGGGGCTCAGGGTTAACAGGCAGGGCCACCCAGGGACTGGTTTAGGTTCTGGCAACTCTTAAAGGGTTGGGGAGGCTGGCAAAGGGCACTGAGAGCCCTGGGCTCTGGGCCAGGTGGTGAATTACAGTGACTCACGGACGGCAGAAGAGATCTGTGAGAGCAGCTCCAAGATGATCACCTTCATCGACCTGGCAGGCCACCACAAGTACCTGCACACCACCATCTTCGGCCTCACCTCATACTGCCCTGACTGTGCCCTGCTCCTCGTCAGCGCGAACACTGGCATTGGTACGAGGCATGGGGGTGGAGACGGGGCCGGAGGCAGGTGCTGACTCCCTGCCCCAGGCCTCCTCACATCTGGGAGGAGTGAACCCTGCTCTTGCTCGCTCTCCTCTCTCCTGCGTTCTTACTTTTCTTGCTGCCTGCCTTCCTTCTCTGAGCAGCTGGCACCACAAGGGAACATCTGGGGCTGGCACTAGCCCTGAAGGTGCCCTTCTTCATCGTGGTCAGCAAGGTAGACCTGTGTGCCAAGACCACAGTGGAGAGGACAGTACGCCAGCTAGAGCGGGTCCTCAAGCAGCCTGGCTGCCACAAGGTCCCCATGCTGGTCACCTCCGAGGACGATGCTGTCACTGCTGCCCAGCAGTTTGCCCAGTCCCCCAAGTAAGCCTTTCTCACTCCAGAGCCCTGATCCACAGGGCCCCAGGGCCCGGGTTCCCCTCAGGAATAGACCAGTTCTGGCTCAGTTCTGTCATTCTTCAGGTTGGGATCGTGGGAGGCAGTCTTTGCCAAAGGCCGGACCCTTTCCCCAAGCCAGCCTGGAGCTTTGCTAATGCCTGGGGCCCTGGAGGCAAAGTGCTGTGCCAGGCCTTCACCGTCTCCCTGGCTCTGGGATGAGCTTCACATGCCACACTCGTGGCTGGCTCACAGAGAGAGTCCAGAGCTCCTAAGAACATTAGCAGATTGGAGAGAGGAGCCCCTTGACACCCAAGATATGCTCACCTTTCCGTGTACAGGGCTCCAGCCTCTGCTTCCTGTTGGAACTTTCCTTATCTGCCCATTCCATACCTCCCTCTACAGTGTCACCCCCATCTTCACACTATCTAGTGTGTCTGGAGAGAGTCTGGACCTGCTTAAAGTCTTTCTGAATATCCTGCCACCACTCACCAACAGCAAAGAGCAGGAAGAACTCATGCAGCAGCTGACAGAGTTCCAGGTAACTGTCTGAATGGACAGTGAGCTGGGGGACTGGGAGGGACTAATTCCAAGTCCTGAGTCTGTTTCAAGATTTTGGACTTGGCAGCCCGTTGATAGAATCTTCTTTGGCTTCAGGTGGATGAAATCTATACAGTACCAGAGGTGGGGACAGTTGTTGGAGGGACACTTTCCAGGTGAATTGCCTTTCTTGTTATCCACCCTACTCAGCCCTCACCTGCCCATACTCTTGATGTCTTCAGAGACCCTGGAGTTGAACAGAGCCCATCTAAAGGATGTGCTTGGTTGTAGGTTAGGCTTTCACCATCAGAAGAGCTGGAGAAAGCTCATCTGTTGGCTTGTCAGGGGAGAAACAGTATCCCTGCTTACTGGGAATCTCCTTGGGCCCCAGGAGAAAAACTAGCATATTCTACTGACTTCATCTCCAGTTAGGGAAGTGAGAGGTCCCTTAAGACTTTACAAAGCTGAGGATGAAACCCAAGGGATGATTGCTTTTTCAGGGATCAAGGTTCAGCATCAAACCAGCAGGTACCTATCTTCCAGCCGTTACTAATGGCCTTTCTTGATATTAGCCTTCAGTCTGAACTCTGAACTGGGGCAAGGCGATCATCTCCCCTGCCTCCAAGTCAGAATTTAGGGTCTCTTTCCCCCATTGGAGGGACTTAATCTTAGAAGGGAAGGTCCTGGTAGGGAAGTAGGTAGAGGGGCATAGGCTGATGCTGTGCCACCTGCCCTCTGGGCTGCAGTGGGATTTGCCGTGAGGGGGACCAGCTGGTGGTGGGCCCCACGGATGATGGCTGCTTCCTGGAGCTGAGAGTATGCAGCATCCAGCGCAACCGCTCTGCCTGTCGTGTGCTGCGAGCTGGTCAAGCTGCTACGTTGGCCCTCGGAGACTTTGACCGTGCACTCCTTCGCAAGGTGAGGTGGGAGGGTCGGTGGGAGAGGGAATACAACGAGAACGCCTGGGAGACTGGCTGTTTGAATGAGAAGCACCTGTCTAAGGCACTTCAGAGGCACTCAAAGGAAACATGGTCTCTAACCCAAGGAGCTGGTTACACAGACTGTCCATGTATAAAAAGGCTTAGAATACTCATAAAGCACAGATCACTGAATAGGAATCACTGTGGTGCAAACTGAATATCCAGGACCCTAAAAATGCTAAGCGTTAAAAGGGTTAGAGGACATGAAAGCTGAGTAAGGAAGGGTTCCCTCCAAGAGGAGGATTTTTAAATATTGTCTCCTGAGGTTTTTGTGTCTGAAGTTCTAGAGGAGGAGAAGTTCAGGAGCTGTAAAGGGTGTGAGGGTGGCGGGGGAGGAGAGACTAAAGGGCTCTGCCCTTCCTGGGTCTGGGGTCTGTGCCTCCCCAGGGCATGGTGATGGTGAGCCCAGAGATGAACCCCACCATCTGCTCAGTGTTCGAGGCCGAGATAGTCCTGCTATTCCATGCCACCACCTTCCGGCGAGGTTTCCAGGTGACGGTACATGTGGGCAACGTACGTCAGACGGCAGTGGTGGAGAAGATCCACGCCAAGGTGAGAGGGACCCAGCCGTGCCCCCATTTCCCCGGGAAAGTCAGAATTCTCCTGCTTCCAGAAAGGAGGGAGGCCTGTCCCCAGACTCAGAGAGAGCTCCCTGATCCCACACAGAGGACAAAGCCCCACCTTGGGTGGGTTGAAGCCTGATAGGCCCCTGAGGGTGGATAGCTGAGGCCAGTAGAGACAGGAGGTGCTGTCCAGGCTCAGTGACCGCATGTCTGCTGCAGGACAAGCTGCGGACAGGGGAGAAGGCAGTGGTACGTTTCCGCTTCCTGAAACACCCAGAGTACCTGAAGGTGGGCGCCAAGCTGCTGTTCCGGGAGGGTGTCACCAAGGGCATCGGCCATGTCACTGATGTGCAAGCCATTGCAGCAGGAGAGGCCCAGGCCAACATGGGCTTCTGAACTCCTCCAGGCAGGCACAGCTCTATTGCTGTCCCTACAATACATAAGGTGACTTCTGGCCATGCTGCCCCGCCATTGGCGGCTCTGTGTGTTCATAGGCTAGGGAGAGAGAGGTGCCTCTGCTGCTTGCTCCCTGCCACCTTTTCTGGAGAGATGCCAAGCTTGGTGTGGCCAGGAGGGGCAGTCTTAGGGAGAAGACAGGAGAATTCAGGGCAATGCTTGGCAGCTGTGTGTCCACCTGGTTGGCTCATCAAGCCCGGCAACCCCACGGCCTGTCTATGGAGGGAGCTGACGCCACCTCAGCCCCACTGTCAGGACTGGGCATGATTCACCGGTGTGGTCCCTGCACGTCAGAAATTGTCAAAACAACTGGGGGTGGTCCTCGAAAGCACTCCTTTTTCTATACCTCTTCTCAAGGCCATGTAAATTGCCCATCTCTACCTGACTGTGGACAAAAGACACCTGCCTCTGGCCGTCTGGTGGCCCAGGGTCTGAAGAAATGGCACAGGGACAGTAAATGGCAGTGCTCCCAACCTGTGCTGAGACATGAGGTCTGCTCCTCAGCTTTCTCTCCCTTCCCTTCTTCACTCAAGGGCCATGTCCCTGGTTTTCCCTCTCAAAGGCCCCACAGGTGCTATTTGTTGTGCTGGCCCAGGTGTGGGGCCACCAAGCTAAGGCTTGGTTTACCGAAGGTCAGCTGCATGTCAATCAGTCTTGTCCCCTCCTCTGCAGTGATCCGTTGGTTTTAATGCTGGATCAAACAGTATGTTTTACTTTCCCAGACGTGGCTGGGGCCCTGACCCACAGCTCCCCATCCCGCCACCCTCACCTCCCTTCCTGCCTCCACATTAGTTCTCTCTTGTTTTAGTGGTTTGCAGTGAACATCCCTTTCCCTCTGTTGCAGGGAACCTGGAGGAAAGGGAAAGATGTTGCCATATTTCCTATTCTTTAGGGCATGGATTCCCTCCTTTTCCTTTGTTAATGTCCTGGGTTCCCATGGACTCAGGGATTTGTTGGTTGAGGTTTCTCTGCATATATATACATATATATATTTAAATACACATTATATATATATTGTACAGAATAAAAATGTTTTATTGAACACACTGTGCTTATGCTTAAGACCCAGGCTTATCTTCCAGAGCTGGATTCATCTCCAGGATTGGAGATGAGTGAAACCTTTAAACTGCTGAGCCCTGAATGGGGAAAGAACCAATCTGATAACTCATTCACCCTTCTTCCTTTCCTCTCCCTGACATGTGATCAGTGTTCCAGTGCTGTGACCCAAGAATTCTGGCCTGTTTTGCATCATTCTTTGAGCAGAATAGAAAGTGAAACTGCTGCCTTTTCAGCTAAGATAGGTAACCACCCTGTACTTAAGTAGTTAGCTACTTGCTAATGGTCACAATGGTAAGGAGGCTGCTACTATATCCTGTCAAGAGATTGGAGATAAGCATGGCACCTACAGAATTTAGACATGCAATCTGGTCCTCTCAATTTTCTTAGCAATACAAAATAGCCCGAAGTGAGGTTTACATAGTCTTAACCGCCTTGGAGCTATGAGGACCACCTGGCCAAACCTCTGTCCCTTATTCCTAGTTTTTTCAGAGTACCTGACTACCATATTTTATGGGTAGAGAAATATGGCCCAAGTTTAAAGTCAACTGCAAAAAGCAGGGAGTACATTTTCAGTAGTGATCCTTGCAAAAGAAATTTAATGATAAATGTGGTCCAAGATCCCATGGGCATTCTGCTTCCAGGGTATTAAAGTGATAGCCTCCCTACCATTCAAGCTCAGCTACTTTTTAAATATCACTGGTTTGACTTGCCACTAAGTAGCCTGTGGTTGAGGAACTTCCTCCTGGTGTTGGGAACTAAGAGCTGTTTACTTCCGTCTGTACAGTTGCTGATAAAACAGTTGAGGGAAGGTTATATTCAGCAAAAAGGTCCTATAGCTTTCACCCAACACTGACCTTTGCACGTCTGTCTGCTGTCCCCTCCACAGGCTCATTGCCAGTATGCTGGGGCAGGGCTGCCAGTCCCAGGAAAATGAGGTGTGCTGTTGGCATTGTCTCTATTGGTTATTTACTAGTGTTCTCCCCACCCCTGCCTACTGCCTGTCTTGGCCTTTAGAAGTCCAATGAAACCACAGTTTCTACCACATTACTTTTCTGTATGACTCCTTCCAGTCGCCTGAAGTGTTAAAAATATGTTCAAATTGATTTGTATAGCACCCAAAAGAGATTTAAAAAAAAAAACTTTTCCCTGGATTAAGAAAGGAAGCTTTGGGAAATGATCTCAGTACTTAATGAGACATCTCCAGGAACTAGTGAGGCACTTTGCTATATTAATGGAACATTCAGGAGGATAAAAAGGCGTATAAAGGAGCAATTCCGCCCCCAATCTAGTAGTATGTACGTTTGTAATATTCCAGTTCTGGTAATCTAAAATGTTCACTATATACATTTCATCCAATGAATATCAAGCACCTATTCTGTGCAAGGCACTGTGAAGAATTCTTGCCTTTAAGAAATCTACAAACCTAGTAGGGAAAAGGCCATGTACACAGTAAGTACTGTCTTTTATTAGATATTTAACTGCCACAAAAGTGTAAAGGATCTTTGGGGGAAGAAATCATTTCTTGCTGGACCCAATGGTTTTCAAATGTTCCCCTTTCAAACTGCAGACCCCCAGTGTATGGATAAGTTTAAAAAGCAGTTGGTTTGAGTGCATGTATGGGAGGGGGGATATATATGCCATTTTCCCTACCTTCTTATCCTCCCCCCTCCCCCCTCGGGCTGTGTAATTAAGGTTTCCCATATTAGAAAAGCCAAAATTGACCTTCCACATATAAAAATGGAGATTAAGAATACAGTACTATAAACATGGACAAGTTATAAAAAAGCTATAGTAGTTCATTTAAAACCCTAAGCTAATATTCACACTTCAATAGGGAGATGAACATGCCAGTGACCCTAAAGCCCAAACACTTCGCTCTTAAATTTGTATTTAGGGTTTAAGGAAATGACGTTGCCCTTTACAAACCTGATGGGCTGTTGTATCAGTATTTGTCAAATTTATTAATATACAACTTCAGGTGGGGTGGGGGTAAGGCTGAGACTGTAACAAGTTTCCTGGTGGTGCTGATGCTGCTGCTCCTCAAAGTCACACTTGGAGTAACAAGGTCCTAGAGATGACCTCGTTCTGATCATGACTAAACAGAGTTTCTGAACTGGTCCAGTAATAATCTTATTCTACCTTAGAACAAAATACAACAGGTAGAAGGGCCAATGGCTAAAATTGTGGCTATAAAAGGGTTTACTTGAATGAAATTCAGTATTTATTGAGTGGCTTCTATGTACAGGGCCCTGCCCTAAACTAGTTACCACTTTAGAGTTTCAAGTGTTCACCTTACATTCTTAAATCTCACATTTTAGTCAAATTTAAAATTTTTTTTACTCAGTTCCTTTTCTGTGCCAACTTGAAGCTACATACTTTAAATACATTTTCCCTAATCTTCAGTAATATAAAGTATTATTTCAATTTTACAGATGAGGGAAAATGAGGAAAGTGACTTGCTGGAGGCCCTATTCCAAGAGGCAGAGCCAGGTTTGGAACCAGATCTCTTAGGCTCTGAGGTCCAGACGTTTTTAACTACATGACACTGCTTCCCTAAATGCTAACAATTAAAAACTGAAAACAGTTGTATCTTTGGAAGATGAATTTTTACATCCCTATCAGCAATAGGATTAGAATCCATTCCTATAAAGAGATGGGAGCCTTAACTCAGCATCTAACCTGATTATTTTTCTTATTAAAAATTACATAAAGTTATAAATTTCCTTGAGAAGTTAACATATTTCTGTCTCCAAGTTTACAGGTAAAATATTAAAACCCTGCAGCAAGCATGAGGGCAGCACTATTGTGTTAATGGCTTAAAAAATGATTTCAGTGTCTTCATGCCCTCCAGCTTAGGGCGTTTATTATTGGAGGCCAAAGGGCTCTTGGGATTTCTTTTGCTTTGAGGAGAACTGGCAGGAACAACCTGAGGGGTTGAGGAGTGGGACTGCAAAAAGGTTTCCTGCAACTCCAATGCAAAATGATAGTCCGTGTGTTCTGGCATCTCCCATACAGGCACCAGAGAGCCACACTTCTCACAGGGCACTTGGTCCTCAGCAGCCAGTAGACTGGGGGTGGTAGCTGCCTTTTGAGCCACTTCTAGAGCGGACTTGGAAGTTAAAGAAGCAAGCCTGCTTAGGCTGTTCTGGGCTAAATCCATCTCTGCAGGAGTTCCTTTAGAGGATCCTAGATGCCACACTTTTTCACAGACAGGGGCACAATCTGGATACTCTGTTGGAAGATAGTTTGGTGACTCTTTAGGGCTGGACTGTTGTTTTTGTGGAGAGAAGGAAACTGAAGAATTATTAAGCTGTTTCTGCTTTAGAAGTAGACTTTTCTGCTTAAAGAAGGGCTCAGTGCCTGTAGTACAACTGGTTTGGAAAGGTAATGAGGGCTTTGATGGTGAATTGCTTATAGGAGCCTGGGTAGTGGCAGTAAGAGATGGAAGTGAAGCTTCTTTGAATTTCTGCTTTTCTGCAGCTTTCTGGAAGAATGATTCCAGAGAAGTGGCTGCTTTCTTAGTGGGTGTCACTGCTGGGCCACTTCCCTGGGTCTTTGCTTCTGAACTGGTGGTCACTGGCACCTTTGGCAGAGAACTTGGGTCATTGCTCAAGAAGATGGTGATGTCTGTGCCAGGTGAAGGGGCAGAGGCAGAGAATTTGGTAGCACAGAGGTAAAGCATTGTAAGGGGAGGGGACCTGTATAGAAAGTAAAAGAACAAGATTAGCACCAGGTCACAGATTCAATTTGTAAATGACTGGGATTCTGGTTCTGCCACAAAAGAAAGTCATTACTGCAGTGGTTCTCAAGCTTTAGGGTGTACTGGATTAATATAGATTCAACAGATCTGGGATGGGTAGAGAATTTGCCTTTCTAACAAGTTCCCAGGTGATACTGATGTTGCTGGTCTAGGACCAGACTTTCAGAATCACTGACTTGGTGAACACCTACCAAGTCAGACATGTGTAAGCTGGATCCCTTGACAGCTGGGTTTGTTTTTATCAGATACTGCTGCAGAGTCACTGTAATTCAGGGGTAGGGCAAGAAACTATTCAGGGCAACAAAAAAGCTTTAGAATATTTAGATTGGAAAGACTTTTGCAAAAAAAAAAAACCCTCTTATGCATTCTCCTGTTTTTATTTTATTTTGGGCGGTGGTAAGGGGGAGGTAATTAGGTTTTATTATTTATTTTTAGAGGAGTTACTGGGGATTAAACCCAAGACTCCGTGCATACTAAGCATATACTCTACCACTTGAGCTATACCCTCCCCCAGCATTCTCCTGTTTTTAAAGATGATACCATCTAACGAACTCTGACAGACTTTCAACTCTAGAATTTCTAGAGAATGAAATTTCACAACTGTTTCTGGTTACCCAGCCTGGTCTAAGAAACATTTCAAGAAATTCCTGTCATAAAGTTCCTCATTACGTCTAATTACCCAAATAAATTTTCACGAGTAGAATTTCAGAAGATGAAATGTGCTTTTATATACAGATTTGTCCCTCGATGAGGCAAAAAGTAAATGCTATTTTAAAATTAAGACCATCTCTCAAGGGGGAGGGTATAGCTCAAGTGGTAGAGCGCATACTTAGCATGCATGAGGTCCTGAGTTCAATCCCCAGTACTGCCTCTACGAATACGTAAATAAACCTAATTACCTCCCCCCACCATAAATTAAAAAAAAGACCATATCACAACTATTCTCCTCTTTCATGCTTTGAGACAATCTCATAATCAGATAATTTTAATGCTTCCCTCTCGATAACTTTCACACTCTTGGTGAGGAGTACTTGTTATAGTCTATCAATTTATAAGGTTTCATGTGAACATAGTATCACAATTATCATTTAGTTCAGTAAAAGTGTTCAAAGTTTGAAAATAAATATACTGGGAAATTAAAGTATCAATGTGTGAAAATATACTAGGAAATTAAGGTAAAATTATTCTAAGAACAAAAGCTTTAACTTTAGAGAACGCATCATGT